GCATAACCTATCAACAGCACCTACTCCCTATACATTGGTCTTCTTTTTCTTACCACTGAGTCCTCATGCACACTTGACGTTTTTACAGCGGCTGTTTTTGGCTTTTGGCGTTTTTTTTTCTACAGCTAGTAAACCACCCAGCATGTTATCCTATGTGTCCATGCACACATAGACTGTAATCAACATTTTTTGGCTGGAAAAAAAACCCCAGGACTGGTGGGTTTCTAGAGGAGTTTTTCAGCTGTAAAAACGCTCTAACGCTGAAAAACGCCGCAAACCAGCATTTTTTGACATTTTTTGGATCAAAAAAAAATTTGGGGGGGTCAAAAAACCCCCCAAAAACCACTAACACGGAAAAACATGGGAAAACGCCACTAAACGATAATGCAAAAACTTCAAATAAAGCTGGAAAACTCACGTTTTCTTTTTTATGTGACTTTTCATAGCTAACATTACCAGCGTTCTCAAAACATCCAGTGTGTATGAGGACTGACTGGCTAACATAACCAACAATAATTTTATTACAACTACTTTTCATAAAGGAATCCCAGTGTTCATGTGTTATTAAAATAACATACTACAATAAAGTTACTCCAACAGATAACTTCATTTTAATTATTCTTAATGACTGATGTACCTTTTGTAGGTCATACTGCAGCAATTTCAGCATGTTCTCCAGCTGTTCAACCTTTGAGGCTAGGGAAGTAGGAGAATCTTTCCTATAGAGAGATTTAAAGAGACATGTTAAAATGGTAGTTTAACCACAATAGAGGCTGTATTCAGTACTGCCTACTGCAAAAAAAAAAAAAAAAAAAAAAAGGGTTTCAGGGCATTGTAGCTATTCTAACCTATAAGATGTAGCCGCTGTAACTGATGAGACCCAGATAAGTCAAACTGACCAGGAACATTTTAGAAATTGCTCATGTGGACCAGTGTTCATTTACCTCATCTAATATACTCTTATAAACTAAAAAAAACACTAAAATTGTATTACTTAAGTATTGTATTTATTTATTATTACTGTAAACAGTGATTCTTAAGCCCCTTTCACACGAGGTGGACTCCAGCGTGATCAGCAAGGGATCTGTCTGCTGATCCCCCACTGATCAGAGTAGAGCAGGCAGCTGAAGGGTCTGTGTCCGCTCAGATCCCCTTCCATTTTTTTTTTTCAGTGGACCGGATCGGATTGGAGTCAGGCAGGTGTAAACTGACACAAGTCCATTTACACCTGCTGGTTCACAGGGGTGAATGGAGAGTTCAATCAAGTCCGCCTAAGAAGCTGACAGGTGGACCTGATATGACCCTTGTGTGAATGGAACCTTGGACTATCCACTATCATCAGAAGTACCTTAGAAGCATACTTTTCAGAAATTGCTTTGATGCATTCAGAAACCACTTTTTTATTTATTGATTTATTTCTAGGTACTTATACAATGCCGTCAATCTATGCAGCCCTTTATATATATATATATATATATATATATATATATATATATATATATATATATATATATATATATAGTACATCAGTCTCTAACCCTTAAGGGGCATACAATCTAAGGTCCCTAGTTTACATTCATACATACACATACTAGGACCAATTTAAACAGGATCCAATTAACCTACCAGAGGAAACTCACAAAAGGGACAGGGAGAACATGCAAACCCCAGGCAGGTGGTGCCGTGGTTGGGATTCAAACCAACGACCCTAGTACTGCCAGGTGGAAGTGCTAACCATTTGGCCACTGTGTTGTCCCTTTCTTATCCATATACAAAGCTTTGAACTATTAATCTTTGCTGAAGACTCACATTTTTAGTAACATCTGTGTGCCCCTTCAAATTTGTCATATATAAAAGGGTCACTTTTTTTTCCAAAAAACATTCCTCATGCATTGCAGCATTGCCAACACATTACGTACCCCTCCTCTGCCATTCAAATACTTGCTCCTGCCCCCCTCCAAATATTTACGTCTTGCACAGCCCTGCCTGAAAAAAAATCCTTAGTAGCTGACCCTCACTTTCCCTCACCTTAATGGCAGGACGATCCAGACATTAGAAGTGCCCCCACAGCTGTTGCTCTGGCTTGTTCAAACACTGAGCATGCACTATACATACAGCCAGTCCTGACATGAAGGGGGATGGGGGGGAGTCAGCAATAAGGTCGTTTTTACAGGCAGGCTGCTCATTGCCTACATGTATGGAGGGGGACAGGGGCAATTATTAAAACAGTGGAGAATGCAAGCAGGATATTTTTTTTTTGAAAAATGGTCATTAAAGGTGCACTAAACCTTTAAGAACTATGCAACTGAATGCAACTTCAATGTGTTATAGTTATTCAAAGAATAACTATAAATACATCCTGCTAGAGAAAAAAAAGCACTTTCAAACTAAATAAATTACATCCCAGCGGTTTCTATCATTGTTTCCAATAAAACACTATTTGCACTTCTTTGTAGCACATGCAGCTGCAGCAAAAATAGCTTTTACCTACATAATGTACACCATACAAAGGTTTGAAAAGAATGAACTAAACAAAAGAATTCTGGCTAAGCATGCTAGGCAGAGGGACATGCTTTAGTGTGTGTATATTATAAACATTATGTGCCCTTTTTGTCAATCTGTTGCTTGAAAGACCCAGTTCTGAGACATGTTCAAGACCTACTGTACCCTGTCTGCGTCTCCTTCCAGCAGCTGTTGGCTACAAAGAAGTCTAAGGGGAAATCTTAGAACCTACGGAGCTAGAAAGGCATAGTATGTGGTTCAAAGACTGGGAATTTCAAATGGCAAAGTAGAGGAGAATCCCCTTTAACAGTTCTTTAGCAAACAAAGACATCTAAAAGGGAGGTATGCATCTATTGTTCACAGAGAAAAACCTCTAAAAGTAATGGGTATAAGGATTATGTTCTGAAAATGCAAATGTTACACAGACACTAAATTTAGCCAAATGGTGGCAAGAAAAAGTATGTGAACCACTTGGACTTAATGGGTTATCTGCAGTATTGATCTTAATCTTAATAAAAGTAGGGGTATTTCTTCTACCCCTACTGGTGCTAACTCTGGAGACCCTACAATATCTAACAAGGATGGCATAATTTCTCAAACCCATAATAACCAAGGTATTACTTCCCAGCACACTAAAGAGCCTGGTATATCCACTCCACCCGAATTGGCTAGTTGTACAGACAGTGCTTCTACCAGTACTTCCTCCTCTTTTTTATGCCTCACCCCCCACTCGGGCCCAGTAAAAAGAAAGCTCACAAAAGAGGCAGGAGAGGGGGAAAAATCTAGACACCACCCAAAAAAGGCAAATGGCCGACACTTACTTCCTACACACTTACTGACAATGATATCTCTCATATGAGGTCTCAATTTTTGCTCCCACTATATGACCCCAGCCATTTATTGTATTTAAAGATCTCAATAGATTTATTAGAAACCTTACACTTAAACGACGACACTAAGGGCTGATGATAGTTCTAATATAGACATTTCTGAAGTTTCCGACATGTCCTTTGATTCTGTCGACCTGTTGGCTCTTGCCAATCTTGAGGAGCTGCAGGTTGACTCTTGGGATGAAAACCTGATGGAACTTACTCAGCATTTGGCCTCATCCCCACCCATTCAACACACAACCTTTAGACCCAAGTCTATTTTTAGCCCTACTTACGCTAAAAGTCCTTTTTTGGAAGCTTTTTATCAAGTTGTGTACACAGAATTAGTCAACATGTGTAAGAAAGTTACTTCCAGTATCAGTCATAATCTAACCAGGGTGGAACAAAAAGCTGTTGAAGACTTATCTCTTAACTCCAATTATTATTACAAAATCAGCTGACAAAGGTGGAGCTATAGTGATCCAGGATAAAGTGGACTATGTTAGAGAAGCAGAGTGTCTTCTCTGACTCTAGAACGTATAAGAAATTTAGAAAAGGATCTCTCACCTGAGTTCATCATTGAGGCGAATACCCGCGTAGATAAATCCAAGCAACAGGGAGTCATCAACAAGGCGGAGGCTGCTTTTTTTCAGAAATAATTTCGAAAATCCACAAGGATCCTAGTAACCCTCCAGGGCACCCCATAGTGGAAAGCATCACTAGTGGATTTTCGCTATATATTGACCTGTTTTCGCAGCCCCTAGCTCAATCATTTACCAGCCTATATTATGCGATGGTATACACCTCATGAAATCGCTAAGTAAGTACACCTGGGAGCCCACCTGGATGTATGTTCTTTGTATACATCTATACCCCATGATATTGGAGTCTCATCTGTGCAACACTTCCTTAGGGAAGACCCCTTATTGAGTCATTCACAGTCCAATTTCATTGTGGAAGCTACTAGGTTTTACCTATCCCACAATTATTTTTGTTTTGATGATGAATTTTAAATTTACAAATTACTGGCACAGCTATGGGGGCTAATTTTGCCCCCCAGTTACGCCAATTTAACAATGGGTTTCTGGGAGGCTTATTACATTTGGTGTAACAATCCCCTTTTCTGCCCACATAGTGTTTTATGGGCAGTATATAGATGACATGGTCATCATTTGGGAAGGTTCAGATTCTGATGTCCATGCCTTTGTCTCCTATTGTATTGCCAACACATTCGGTCTGTCATTCACATCTGAGTGCAACAGTTCTCTGGCTTTTTTAGATCTTACTATGTCATGAAGAGAAAACCATATATGCTACCAACTACACTAAACCAACAGCTGGTAATTCTTTTCTACACTTTTCAAGCTGTCACCATCCCCGTTGGGTCAACAACTGTCCCAAAAGCCAGTTTTGTCGCTTGCAACACAATTGCAACAGAGCACAGGACTATATACAACATAACCAACATAGGAAACAAAAGTTCCTCTACAAAGGGTATCCACCAGACAGGTTAGAGGAGGCTTACCAACCCTACCTTAACCACCTGTCGCCCGCCATATAGTACAATGATGGGCGCAAGGTGGTCCTCTCATTCTGGGATGACGTCACATGACGTCATCCCATTCTAACCATGCATGTGCAGCTCCGGGAGCGCGCAGCGCGGCGATCGGCAGTGCACTGTGTCCCTCGGACACAGTGGATCACCGATCAACAGTAAGAGCCGAAGATGTCAGCTCTGTCATGTGATCAGCTGTGTCCAATCACAGCTGATCACATGTAAACAGGGAAATGCCGGTTATTGGCATTTCTCTCCTCACGAGCTGTCACGCTGACAGCTCGAGAGGAGAGCCGGTAATCGGCATTCCTCAGAAGGGACATGTACACTGATTATCAGTGTGCCCTGATGATCTGTGTAGCCCCTTCAGTGCCACCTGTCAGTGTCCATCAGTGCCACATTTCAGTGCACATCAATGCCACATATCAGTGCCCATCTGAGCTGCCGTTCAGTGTCACCCATCAGTGCCACCTATCAATGCCAGTCAGTGCCGCCTATAAGTGTCAGTCAGTGCCGCCTATCAGTGTGCATCAGTGCCGCCTATCAGTGCTGCCCATCAGTGCCGCCTAACAGTGCCAGTCAGTGCTGCCTAACAGTGCCAGTCAGTGCTGCCTTTCAGTGCCCATCATTGATGCCTTTCAATGCCCATCAGTGCCACCTACCAGTGCCTCATCAGTGCCACCTATCAGTGTCCATCAGTGCAGCCTATCAGTGCCCATCACTACAGCCTCATTAGCACACATCAGTGAAGGAGAAAATTCACACTTATTTACAACATTTTATAACAAAAACTAAGACAAACATTTTTTTTTTCAAAATTTTCAGTGGTTTTTGGTTTAAGAAAAAAATAAAAAACCCAGAGGTGATTAAATACCACCAAAATAAAGCTCTATCTGTCACAAAAAAATGATAAAAATGTCATATGGGTACAGTGTTGCATGACCGCGCAATTGTCATTCAAATTGTGACAGCGCTGAAAGCTGGAAATTGGCCTGGGCAGGAAGGGGGTATAAGTGCACTGTAGGCAAGTGGTTAAAGAGAACTCTGTTGTCAAACATCCAGCTGACACCACTAACCCTGTTTGTTTTGTTACCCAATTTCATTGTAAACATAGGAAGTTGTAACAAATCTTTAAGAGACATTGGTCCATCTTGTTAGAGGATCCACATCTATCCTCTGCCATCACTCAGGCCCCCAAAATTACATATAGGAAAGCCCCTAGTGTTAAAAACAAAATTGCACCCAGTAAATTGAAACAGACTGTACCACAGCCTAAATCCCTTTCTTTGAAAGGAATGTACCAGTGCAGAAAACCCCTATGCCTAACGTGTAAACATGTTACACATGGTCAAAAGCAGTTTCAGGTTAAGAACAAAACATATGATATCAAAACATTTTACAATTGTTCCTCTGAATATGTCATTTATTGCCTCACTTGCCCTTGTGGATTATTCTGCGTGGGTAGAACCACGCGGACACTGAGGAAACGTTTTGGTGAACATTGCCAATTCTTGGAGGAAGGTGTTGAAAAGCACAGCATACCTAAGCACTTCCAAGAGCACCATGGCAAATGCTCCAAAAGCCTAAGGGTTTGGGTCATTGAGGGGATCTCTAACACATACCCACCTGCTGAACATTTCAAAAGATTATGTGAACAAAAGACCTACGGGATATACATTTTGGACAAGCTTTCCCCTATGGGTCGCAATGAAGAGATAGAAATTAGTACTATTATTTGTTTTTTGGTAATACAGCTCTGTGTTCCACGTCGTGGACCTATGAACATTGTCCCACATATAACTGAGTGGAAAATGGTCTGAATATATATTTCTCCCTTTCCCCCCTTTTGGATTTAATCCCTTTTTCTGATGGATTTAGTTTTCTTATGTATCAGGTTTAATACAGTATTACTGTACCTTTACATAAACACCATGATTTCTCTAATCATTTAAATATCTGATAATCACATCATTATCCTATCTTTAGCTACCTTTTTAGTGAAAAATAGCGCAGGATTCCATAACTGAAATATTTCCTTTTTTTAAATTGTTTTATTATTTTATACCCCTTGTATTTTATTATTATTATTTTCTTTCATTCTTATTACTTTTTAATTTTCATGTGGTCGTCCATGTGCATGTGTTTGTGTGTGTACGTAAATATAAGTACATACATATCACATGGCTTTTTATTAAGATACATTCCCGCTATGTTAATTGATTCTGTTTGTTCCCAAGATCTTCCCTAGTAGTGTATAAGACCTCCCTTACTCCACCCATATACAGTCAGGTCCATAAATATTGGGACATCGACACAATTCTAACATTTTTGGCTCTATACACCACCACAATGGATTTGAAATGAAACAAACAAAATGTGCTTTAACTGCAGACTGTCAGCTTTAATTTGAGGGTATTTACATCCAAATCAGGTGAACGGTGTAGGAATTACAACAGTTTGCATATGTGCCTCCCACTTGTTAAGGGACCAAAAGTAATGGGACAATTGGCTTCTCAGCTGCTCCATGGCCAGGTGTGTTTTATTCCCTCATTATCCCAATTACAATGAGCAAATAAAAGGTCCAGAGTTCATTTCAAGTGTGCTATTTGAATTTGGAATCTGTTGCTGTCAACTCTCAAGATGAGATCCAAAGAGCTGTCACTATCAGTGAAGCAAGCCATCATTAGGCTGAAAATAAACAAAACAAACCCATCAGAGAGATAGCAAAAACATTAGGCGTGGCCAAAACAACTGTTTGGAACATTCTTAAAAAGAAGGAACGCACCGGTGAGCTCAGCAACACCAAAAGACCCGGAAGACCACAGAAAATAACTGTGGTGGATGACCGAAGAATTCTTTCCCTGGTGAAGAAAACACCCTTCACAACAGTTGGCCAGATGAAGAACACTCTCCAGGAGGTAGGTGTATATGTGTCAAAGTCAACAATCAAGAGAAGACTTTACCAGAATGAATACAGAGGGTTCACCACAAGATGTAAACCATTGGTGAGCCTAAAAAACAGGAAGGCCAGATTAGAGTTTGCCAAACGACATCGAAAAAAGCCTTCACAGTTCTGGAACAACATCCGAGTATGGAGAAGGAAAGGAACTGCTCATGATCCTAAGCATACCACCTCATCAGTGAAGCATGGTGGTGGTAGTGTCAGGGCGTGGGCCTGTATGGCTGCCAATGGTACTGGTTCTCTTGTATTTATTGATGATGTGACTGCTGACAAAAGCAGCAGGATGAATTCTGAAGTGTTTTGTGCAATATTATCTGCTCATATTCAGCCAAATGCTTCAGAACTCATTGGACGCCGCTTCACAGTGCAGATGGACAATGACCCAAAGCATACTGCAAAAGCAACCAAAGAGTTTTTTAAGGGAAAGAAGTGGAATGTTATGCAATGGCCAAGTCAATCACCTGACCTGAATCCGATTTGAGCATGCATTTCACTTGCTGAAGACAAAACTGAAGGGAAAATGCCCCAAGAACAAGCAGGAACTGAAGACAGTTGCAGTAGAGGCCTGGCAGAGCATCACCAGGGATGAAACCCAGCGTCTGGTGATGTCTATTTGTTCCAGACTTCAGGCTGTAATTGACTGCAAAGGATTTGCAACCAAGTATTAAAAAGTGAAAGTTTGATTTATGATTATTATTCTGTCCCATTAATTTTGGTCCCATAACAAGTGGGAGGCACATATACAAACTGTTGTAATTCCTACACCGTTCACCTGATTTGGATGTAAATACCCTCAAATTAAAGCTGACAGTCTGCAGTTAAAGCACATCTTGTTTGTTTCATTTCAAATCCATTGTGGTGGTGTATAGAGCCAAAAATGTTAGAATTGTGTCAATGTCCCAATATTTATGGACCTGACTGTAGGTTCCTGAACCAATATAAATGGGGACTGTCGTCCTAGCCAATCAGGTTTGACAAAGAAGCTGATTGGCGCTCTGAAACGCGTTACCTAAGCTACGGATCCTCCTTCCATGACACCACTTCTGGTCTTGCAGCCCATGGTGGGTTTTTTTTTAATGTCACTTACGGTTCTGCGGTCCTTTTCAACTACAGGAGCCAATGCGCTCCGTGGAGCACAGATGTGTGGTTCGTCTCTCGGCTGCATCTGGTCCTGGAATCTGCTACTAACATACCTGATGAGTGGCAGCGGTCCTTACACTTCTTATGGTCATTTTAACTCTTCACAAATGTGAGTGCTACATTTTATGGTCCACTAAACTACCTTTTAATGCTGCTCTTAGAGGCGCCCCCTTGTGTTCCTTTTCATTTCTGCAGAGGTACATTACAGTTTCTGGGTGGAGCTGCCTTTAGGCGCTTTTATGGACTTTAGCAATGTGTATGGACTTCCTATGATATGCACTATATGGCCTTAACATTGTTCTAATGCTAATTCTTTGTATCGCACACTTTTTTACTATAGGTTTGCGCCATATGCGATTTGTATATCTGCTCAGAAAAAGAAAATGCACCTTTTGGAGTCACCCAGTGAGAGATCAGACCTTAACCCCATAGAGATGCTGTGGAATGACCTCAAAAGAGCCGTTCACACCGGACATCCTACAAATGTGTCTGAGCTGAAGTAGTTTTGTAAACAAATTCCTCTTGAATGTTGTGCGGGTCTGATCCAAAGCTACCGAAAGCTTGAAGTCACTACTGCCAGAGGAGGTATGACCAGCTATTAACTCCAAGGGTTCACTTACCTTTCCCTCCAGCACTGTGAATGTTTAATGGGTGTGTTCAATAAAGACACAAGAAATTAGAATTGTTTGTGTGTTATCAGCATAAGCACACTATGTTTGTCCATTGTTGTGACTTAGATGAGGATCAGATCACATTTTATTGAAAATTACTGCAGAAAACAAGTTAATCCAAGAGGTTAACATACTTTATTTTGCCACAGTAAGTTGATATGTAAAGTTTACTCCTTCTATTACATCTGCCGTGCTGAAAAATTAAGATTTCTTACCCATAGTAAGGGCTGGACTGGGAAGCTGTCTGACCCTCCAGCTGGTCAACAACTGAAGCTGCACTTCCTGGTCTGTGCTCATCTTCTGTAGAGGCAAAGAAGGAAGCTCTCTGATCTACAAAAATTATAACAAAGATAAATTCACCATTTGCTCCCTATAATCAATATAAATTCATAAGGAGAGTCTTGCAAAGTGGTCTGAGTATTCCTGCTCATTGATAAAGACAAACAACAAGAGTAATAACCCACACAAACAAAATTTACTTTTGCTACTGTGCCTCTTCTAGTAATCAGTGGTAATGCCTGAGAAGCTGCTATTGATTAGTGCATTTTGATCATTATTATCATTGCTCCTTGCACTTCCTTGCCCGGTGGTAGTCATTTATTAGAATACAGTGTGTGAAGGCCACTTCTGTGATGAGCCAGATACATAATGGAAAAGTATATCTACATGCTACAAGGAACAATATTTTCCAAAACAGGACTTCTATTCATTTGAAAGTAACTTCTGTAAGGTGGAATCACAATCAAATCGATATGTAAAGGATTGGAAAAGCATTTCCATTGAGTGGGTGGAAATATCACCGCTTTGCAACATTATCCATAATGTACCTTTGACACAGCCTGATTATACAACCTTGCTGCCCGTTTAAGCTTACCTTTGCTTAAAAGAGAAGTATGATCCAAT